GGGGTGGATGTTTAGATTGACTCTTTGTTGAAGATTGGTTAGCTGCTTAAATTGGTCATTAATTTTATAATTTTTTTTGCCTTCTTTTTGTTTTTTTTGTTTTGAACACACATTTTTTTTTTGCTCTAGTTTTATAAGGATGGGCAAGTGGTTTTGAAGGGCACTAGGTTCTTTGCTCTCTTTCTGTTGTTTCTGCCTGTCTTTTTCACTTTTTAGTTAATGACTGTTTTCATGTCGATGTTCTTCTTTTTACTGAAATTTTGAGTTCGATGTTCCTTTCATTTTCACAGAAAAGGACAGGTCCTGGATGAACCTCGAGAGGGAATCTGTTTCAACACACAGTGGAAATTTTGTTTAGCCTCGCTTTCCTCGGTTTCCAACATCAAACCTTTGGTTTCTGGACATTTTTTGAAGCCGTGGGACTCAAAATTGATTGATTTCCAATTAATTGCTGGCCAGGAAAAAGTTCAGAGAATCTACTCAAGATTATGAAAGGAGACTAGAGGCAAAGGTTGCAAGGTTTGATTTCAGTCATCTAAGTTTAAAAAAAATAAAATCACTAGACATTGCTGAAAAGATGGCTCAAAACAGAACAACTGAAAATCACGTTACACGAGAAGTATGCGTTTCTGAAGGAAAGGTCAGCTTTATTAAAGATCAGATTGGTACTTTTGAGGATTGCACTGTTGAGTATAATCACAACACTGCGAAAGTCCTCATGAGAGGGGCTAAAGACAAAGTAAATGCCCGGTATAGAGAGATACTGATGTCATTGAATGAAATACACGAAAAATGCATAGAACTGACATTGGCGCAAAAGACTATTCTCAGCACAGAGGAGGGGAGATTGTTTTTGAACAATTTCTTGAGCAACTATCAGTGGCACTTTAGAGCTGAAGAACTTGGACTTGTGGTTTTGACAAAGAACGATCAGGAGCTTGGAAGTTGTATCCAGGCACTGACTTCCCGACTAAATGGAAAAGAACATGTTCCTTTTGATGGAGAAGTGACTGAAGCTCGTCTACTAGAGATAGAAAAAGATTTGGACCTGCTTGTGAAATTATCGCATGATAAAGATTGCATAACTATTGAAGGAGTGACAGAGGATGTAGCCATAGCCAAAAGAGAAATCTTGGAGTTGAGAGATGAATTTTTGTTCTGCAAAGAGGAAATGTCTGTTGATGGACAAGAGGCGATATTTATCAAGAGTCATTTGTCAGACGAGTTTGATAATCTGTTTTCTGGTCTAGCAGTTGAAAAACGGTTCAATCAACATGGAGAGCTATTTGTTTCTTTAAAGGGTACAAAGAGCAAGATTGCTGAGGTGAAAAGGAAGTTCAATGCATTCGTAAGCAGTGTTACTTCAAGGACAATAACTTTTTGTTTGGATCAGTCACAAAGCTATTTGTTGTCCAAAGGGAAGGAACTTTACCAAGACAAGATGAAGACTATTGAGAGAGAGAGAAAGTGCTCTATTGTATTTCCTGTCAATAGTACTGAAGTGACAGAAACTGCTTTTCTGAATAATGACTTGGGTTCTAACACTGACATACCAGCTTCAGGTGAAATTGTGAAAAATTTGTCAAACAGTTGCAAACTTCACATTAAACATTCGAAAGATATCACAGATGAGACTTCTGATGTCCTTGTATGCCCAATAAATGAAAAGACAAGTCAACATACCGCTGTGCTCAACCGTTTTAAGGATCTGTGTCCTGGCATCATTGAAGAACTGGCATCTGAAAAAGGAAAGAACCCTTCCAGCAGAACGTATGTGACACGCCAGAGTCTGGGTAATCTAAGATGTAAGGCTGTGGTGCATGTGGTCCTTAAGAAGTTGCGTGATCCCAGCAGTGACCAAGACTTGGAGCAACAGATTGTGAATGCTCTGCAACAAGCAGTCGCACAAGGAACAGAAGCAAAATCTGTTTCTTTCCCAGTCATGGGTTATGGCAGAGCATTTAAGTTCTCTGTACAATCAGCAGCTAGGATTGCAGTGGATGCAGTGAAACGATTTGTCACGTCTGCCCAGACTAGCAGCCTCACCGACATTGTGTTTTTGGCCCCGGAAGATACTCTGTTCAAGCAGTTTCAGCAGTGCTTGGGTTCTTCTTCTGCACCTGCTGCTGAGAAACGCCGTGCCCCTCCTGTAAACTTTGATGTATTGGTAGCGGGGACCAAGGATACTGATTTTACACAACTTCGGTCAGAAATTTGGAGAGTATTTGAAGTGACTTGTTTGGGTCATGAGGAGTATACGCACAATTTTCCTGAGAATTTGTCGCATGATTTTCATGTGCAGGTCGAGGAGTTAGCAAAGCAGTTTGGGGTGTTGGTGGAAAAAAGCAAAACAAACAAAGCTGGATACAGGGTCTCAGGTACTACTAAAGGAAGACAACAATTGATAGAAGCCATTAAAAAAATTCAAATAAAATTTGAGAACAAAATGATATTCTTCAAAGAGAAGAGAGGTTCGGTGGAATTCATAAAACATGCTGCAGTTTCGGATGATAAATTCCCTTCATATTGGTTGCAGAATTCTTCTAACAGGGACCAGCAGGCTATTAAGAGAGTTGACGTGGACAAAAAGACAGCTGCAGCCATAACAGATATGACCAAGAAGCTTTTTGATGGAAGGAAAGTGGGCCTTGGCAAAGATGCAAGAGGTCTTTCCCACAACAATATCAAGGTCATTAAGATAGAGAGGTTGGAAAACTGTCACTTGTTTGAGAGTTATGAAGTCTGCAGAAGACGGTTACTTAAAAAGATGGCTAAGCAGGAGATTGCTTGTTTGGACATAAGTAAACTGAAGTCACAGTCTCCAAAGGAATCATTTACATCTGGTGGTGGTGTTGCCTCTACGGAAAATCTTGAGAGTTTCATTAAAACAGAACTTTTATGCCATGAAATCAATGAACATTACCTGTTTCATGGGTGTAATGACTTTGCTTTGGAAGATATCTTGAACAATGGATTTGATTTTAGGCTTGGAAGTGAAGGTGGAATGTTCGGAAAAGGTGTCTATTTTGCTGAAAACCCAACCAAGGCTGACCAGTATGCAGGTGAGCTTCAGAAATCAGTTCATTATAGTGTGAAAGAAGAGAGAGAGAGAGAGAGAGAGAGA